ATCAGTGTTATTATTTTTACTTGAAACAATACTACAAGTACTTTCAACAAATTACAGATTGTCTTCTTCAGGTATAAAATAATCAAATCTTAATGGAACCTTACAATTTAAAATATATTCTATAGGATATGTCAATACATTGAAAAAACAACAACAACATCAACAACAATAATAATAATAATAATAAATAAAATAGAAATCAAAAAGGGGAGGGTAAAAAATGTATAATTTAGAATTAACTTGATCGAAAGAATCAGACAAGTTTGGTAGAAGTTCTGCAATTTCTGATATCATCTTGATGCTCTTGAAAGTGGCAAGCCAATTCTTACTAATTGTCCAATTTTAAAACAAATGTTAACCTGAAGATGACTGCTAAAAGTATTCAAAAACATTAGTTTTCATTAAATTCATTGATGTATTTAAAATCACTTTAATCCTAATAGGTTAATTTTTCTCACAGCAAGACCAAGTTAGATGACACAAGACTATTGTAGCAAACTTTTAAAGCATAATTTTACATCATATGCATTTTGGGCTAATATAACTTTGTAGCCCCTCTTCAGTGCTATTAAGAACAAGGGTATAATTAAAAAATATGACATTATTGTAATCAGTTAAAAAATTTACAACATAATTTGTATGTTTACTTACATGTATTAGAATATAGAAACAATTTGAAACTCCATTACACATTATTCAATATTTTCCAATATAAATACAGCCAATTATTATTACGTCTTCATATTAAACATAAAGTACAGTAGACCCCCCTGTAAAACAGGTTCCTATAGTTTGGATTCCTATATCACGGCGAAAAAATTGCGACAGTATTCGTACAAACACACTAAAAAAAAAACTCATATAATTAGGTAAAACATCATCGCTGACTCGTGTCGCAACAGGATTGGTCGAATCTAGACCAATAGCGGATATTGTACAAACTGTTGAGTTTAAATGAGCAGCAGACCTACTAAAAACCATTTATTATTTAACGTCCATAAAAATTATATTTATATTAATGTATTTATATTAAGTAATCCTACAATTTTTTGTTTATAGTATATTTTATATGGATTATTCCCAAAAAATAATATGTATTTTGGAAATGTTGAGTCAAATTAGTCTAGAATTGGTTAATTTTATGGAAGAAAACCTTTCAAACAGCCATACTGCATACGTGCCGGGCTGTGATTGGCTCATGTATTTAAAGACTCATAGAAAATGGATTTCATAAAAACTGGAACGTATCTACCATGTTATGGGGGGGTCGACTGTATATACAATTATAAAAGCCTTAAAAACAGAAAGGGGTAAATCACAACTATTACATCTATAATACATGAAAAAATACTCCATATAATTTTTAAATAAGATAAATAATAATTCTTACTTTATGCTTATTATAAAACCAGCTAAAGTAACTGTAATTTTAGCTTTTATACACAGGCTACAAAGGTAATGACAATAAATTGGCTTGCTCGCAAAGTTGGAATACTGTATAAGTGTTATACAGGGTGGGCCAACGAAAACGAAACGGCAGAGTTATCGTGTTCGTCCAAGCAAATCGCTTGGACAGGTCGCTTTTATTCTCAAGGGGGAATATTTTTTTCCGTGCATATGCGGTCCAGCTTAAAAAGTTTTTTTATGTTTGTTAATAGTTTGTGTTACTTTTTTTCCGAAATAAGTGTTTGTTTAGTTAATAAAAAAATGAATGAGTTTTTAAAATTTTTTGTTGTCTGTTGTATTCAAAATCGCAAAAACTTTATTGCAGAAGATGTCCCCCTTGAGAATAAAATCGATCTGTCCGAGCGATTTGCTTGGACGAACGCGATAACTCGTTCGTTTCGTTTTCAATGGCCCACCCTGTATAATTGTATAATACATGTTTTTATATTCACAGATTGTAACACTGAGGTTTACAAGTATTTTCACAACTACATTAAAAACTTTGGTAATATTAGCACAAGTACATAAACAAACATAACTGTTGAGCGAATTTTACAATATTTATTATATCACATGTGACAATGCACCCTCTATTATTTGGTACCATTTTGTATCAATGGTCATGCCATCTGAAACGTTTACAAGTTTATCTCTAGAATATTTTATTACTTCTACTGTTCTTTAAATTTTCTTTTGGTCTGGCTATGAGAAAAATCAACCTATTAGGATTAAAGTGATTTTAAATACAGTAATACCCCGAACTTATGCAATAGGTGGGACCAAGTGATAACTGCGTAAGTCAGGGTATAATTTCTCAATTTGTGTAAAATCCAAGTCGGATGTACGTAAGGTAATAAATGTTCTCATTAATCTTATCTCGTCTTTTGATTCGTTCATTATTACAAGAAATCATCACATAGTCTCTCAAGTCTCCGTAGATATAACAAATACAGAAATAAATAACACAAAATAAATTGTAGCTATGTGTTGATTCTGTGCGACACGTCCGAACATGTAAGCTGAACAACAGTGTGGGGGAATGAGTAATCAAGAGTTGTGTGGCGCTCAAACAAAAGATGAATCAATGAGCAATAACTCCAGGTTCGCATAAGTCGGGGTAGCGCAAGTCGAGGTATTACTGTACATCAACATTATACAGCATCAAAACTACTTAGAAATTTATTGAAATTATTGCTGTTTGAGTCTTATCTTTATATATGCATCCAATTATTTGTTCTACATATAGAATCTGTCACAAGAGAATTAAGGCTTAAATATTGTACATTAAGTAAGAGGAAAAAGAAAAGGTTTTGTTTGCTGTGTCTATGAGACCCACAGCAAGTTTTCTTTCCTATCTGAATAAGATCTGCAGTATGTTGTCATTGATTGAGAAAAATCACAAAGATTATGAAAATAGAGTGCATATTGTGAAAAATCTACATTTATTTATTTTTGTTTTTTTTAAATAAAATAATATTACAAGCAAATAATGTGTTAGGGCAGAGAAGGAAAAAAAAAACATAGATTTATGTTATTGGAGAGAAGGTTAAACAGGTTTGTAAAAATCTGTAGTAACATTCTTTTTTTTAATATATGCAGAACTAAGAAAATAACTATATAGTTTCAGCATTTCAGAAAAAACTCTCTCACTATAGACAATTTATGCAAATCTTTTCTTTAGATAAGAACCAGTCACAAGTAAAATTAAAGTGTGCACTAATAGATTATTAAATACCCAATGTAGCTTGCATATTAACAAATGAAACATACTTAGCTTATACAAAACTTGTAGAATTTAAAACCATGGAATTCTGTACAATCAATTACTGACACATTAATTCAGTGCAACAATGAGTCAAATGCAATTTAAAAATTACAACAGATTATAATCCTCATGATTTTCTCAATCCCTGATGGTACCATTACATCTCTGAACGAGACAGTTGGGTCTTTATTAGAGCTGTAGACCATAACCCTTAGGAGCAAAAAAGTCAAAAGGAACCACTCCTCTACATGACCTTTCATGAAATACAGCCCACCAAAATCAGCCTACTTCCAGGTTGCACACAATCAAGAGTCGTGTTGCTCTACTAAGACTCACATTTAACTATTTAGCCCCTGCAACTATGCTGGCTTCGAGTAGCCACTCGACCATTCGTGAAATACTCAATGTTATATAGTTTTAGGGCAGTTGTTCTCAACTATTCTGAGGCTCAACTAACACCATTCATATACTTTTCATTACACAGAGCATTTGCATCATTATATTTGAAAACTGATAAGAAATTCCATGTTTACTATTCTCAGGAAACAATGAAGCAATAAACTAACATACTAACTTTAGTGTATTGAATAAAATAGAAACATGGAATTGTCTGTGAATATGGCAATTGGAATAAATTTGCAATTAAAATCTTTTCTTTAACGGAACACTCAAGGTAGGTTTGCAGAAAACCCATGTTATATGGAACACTGACTAAGAATCACTGTTTTAGGAGGATGTGAGGTGTTCACCTCACATGCACAACTATATGCAAAGTCCAATCTTGACAAAAAACCTTTAAAATGCAGCTTTTTATTAATTTATCAAATGTTTTCAGCCATTTAAATGACCTTCCTCAGGAATAAAAATTGTGTTACTGTTTTAGTTATTTATTTATCTTATTTTTATTTACTTTTACTTATATAAATATAATATAAGAATAAATAGCTATCATTTATATGTATATTCGTACAAGTAACCCATACATATTGTATTTGTATTTTACAAGCTTGCATAATAGACATCTATGAAAATTCGAACATTCAAAATCGTTCCATAACAAACTTTGTTTTATAGAAATCAAAATCATTCAACTTTTATTCCCGAGGAAGGTCATTCAAATGGCCAAAAACATTCAATAAGTTAATAAAAAGCTGTATTTTAAAGGTATTTTGTCAAGGTTGGATTTAACTGCAGTTCAAGAAGAGTCTACATACAGAGCTCATCATGTTCAGAACATGAAGGCAGTATACTCTACAGTAAAAACTGATCTTTAGAGACAAATATTTCACAAAGGTTCAAACATACACCGACTTTTTTTGCTCATACAGGAGGAAGATGGCAAATCCCTCATTCGGTGTTCACTTATTACCTTAATGACAGTCACAGTAGGTCCTATTTGGATAGAAAACAGTACCCTCCACACATCCCACAGCATTATTGTTTCTGAAAGCATCATACACATACTAGTTTAATAAACCCGAATAAGGTTGAATTTCTTTAATTCTGAATGTGCTTGAACTCATCTGCTTCTCGCCGTCTCCAGTGATGTAGAAAAATGTTTATAGTTTAGAACTACAAAAGCCATTTTAAATTAAGGATATGCACTTATACATTAAATAAGCCTTATGAAATGAAATAAATATAAACTTTGGAATTAAAAACTAGACATATGTTGATTATATAATATATATATATGTATTACATAAATAATAATTTATTTTAGTATAAACAAATACACATTTAAATTGTAGTGTTAAGTCTATGTAATACCTAAATAATGATCACTTACCGAGTACCACCGACATTTAGATGAACAATATGACTATTAGAATTACTTCCAGCAGGAATTAAATGCGAAGACATGCTTCAAATAAAAGGAAACGGGAAAAAAATCAACCAATTAAATCATTTTATTTTTTTTTAAAATAAAATCAAAATTCAAAACCGAGTTGGTCGCCATGACAACCGCACAACCCACGGAAGTCACGTCCGTTCGCGCGAGATTACACGTTAGGCAGTTTTCTGAGATGTCGCGACGGCGTCTATGCAAGAGATGATGATGTTCAAATATAATCCGATTTTTTGAATCTATAAATTTCAAAATTATTCATATATAGTTATTTCGGATCGATTAAGGAAGTCTTCGAATGTAACGTACTAAGATAATGTACGTGAATTTAGTTTGATTGCCTGTACTGTACTTCACAGGTAGGTCTTAAAAAGCTATATTCTGATGAACCCGAAACTGACAGTGACGTAAGGATGTGTTAAATATTACGATTGGTCGATGAAAATCTACGTTTTGATTATTAACTAATCGCGTTTCTTAAGACAAACCATGATTTAGAAACCAATTAGTTAGATTGTAGTATCAAATTTTATTAGGTGTTTATGCGATTAAATATATTTTTATTTTATTTTCATTTAAATATTTTAAATTTAGACATTTGATTCGACTTAAACATAAAATTTTCATTTTTAAAATGTTTTTAACATATTTCATTATTTTCAGGTAAATAAAAACATAATTAATTATACACATGAACTGGAAACCTTTCTTATTCCTTCACACTAAATTTCTTCATAGAAATATGGAGTAGCCATTGAAAGAACTGCATCCAATACCCTTTAGACATACATCAAACATTTTAAAAAATTTATTATAAAAAAAAACCTTTGAATTTTTAAAGCATTGAAACATATAACACTCAAAACATCTTTTATGGCTTGATATTCTTATTTTAGTTAAATATAAAATTGATTAACTTTTGAAAGGAAATTTTTATCCACAGTAGCCCACTTGACTGCTTGTGGAGTGCTTGATGTTATATACAGTAATACCCCGAACTTACATGATAGGTGGGACCGAGCAATAACCACGTAAGTCGAATTTGCGTAAGTCAGGGTATAATTTCCCAATTTGTGTAAAATTCAAGTCGGATGTATGTAAACTAATAAATGTTCTCATTAATCTTATCTCGTCTTTTGGTTTGTTCACGGATACAAGAAATCACCACATAGAGTCTCTCGAGTCTCCATAGATATAACAAACACAGAAATAAATAACACAAAATAAATTGTAGCTATGTGTCGATTCCGCACAACACGTCCGAACATGTAAGCTGAACAATAGTTTAGGGGGAGTGAGTAATCAAGAGTTGCATGGCACTCAAACAAAAGACGAATTGACAAGATTTGAAAATCGCGTAACTCCGGGTTCGCGTAAGTCGAGGTATTACTGTAGTTTTAGCACCTTGGTGCCGGGGGGGTTTGTCCCCACCTGNAATACTGTCTAATATTATTATCAAACATTGATAATAATATTAGGGTAGACTGATACGTGTTAAAAACTGATCTTCAGTTTTTAACACGTATCAGTCTACCCACTATCCTCCAGTTTAAAAAAATATTGTGCCAAGGGTCGACAATTGTGGGGGTGGTGTGAGTTAAGTAAAAAAAAACAAAATAAAACATCAATTTCACTAAAATAGTGATGAAAACAATCTTTGCTCCAATAACGGAGGTGCCGCCATTGGGGCTATCTAGGTGAACATTTACCTTAAATTATATTATATGATACAGATCCATTGCAAAATAGTAATTAGTGTACAGTATGGAAAGAAACTTTCCTCCTATAATTATAATTTATATTAAAAGTTTGTAGGTTATTAATATAAATATAGCTTAGTTTTGCTTCTTAAATATTTTATATTTTAAAAAAATGTGCATATAAAAATTCAAGAATGCTTATATTTTAATATTTTAAATAAAATTTTGTTTAAACATAGCTTAATTTGCTGTAATTTTAAAAAGTTAAGAAGTTATTTCATAATTCTTTTTGAAGATTCAATATTAGGTTGAATGTATAGTTTTGTACAGTAGAGCCCCACCATAAGTGACCAATACATTCCAGAACTATTGCATATCACATAGAATAGCAAATATTAAGTATTTCCTAAACTAACATACCTATCACACATTTAAAAAAATATATAAATAAGGCAATAGTTTTGTACAGTAGAGATACTGTAAGACTACATGTATCTTAAAAGAACAGCGTGGATTTAGCATGCAATTAAGAATTATTTTATATATTTTTCTTTCCTTTTTAATTGCTAACAGCATAAAACTAAAATCAGGTGTGATGATCATATATATAATTTTATCACATATATGATGGGGGATGTTATATAATTTTGTAGTATAGTGTAAGTACAGTAGTCTTGTTTTATGTGGGATTGCTGTAAACAGTTTTGTTTTTTAATGATTAAGTTAATTCTTTGATGCACATGGATGATACTGGCTATTATTGCACATGCTGACAAGTTTTATTATGAAGTTCAGCATATGTAGTATAAAGTTAAACACATTTTAACATTTTTCTTTTAACTGTAAGTAATTGAATAAGTGTCTAGACATTCACCTGGGACTACTTAAGGTGAACACAATTTATGTGAAATTTTGTTTTATATAGTACCTGCTGAAATGTAATTTATGTGTAAATAAAACCATACAGTGTAAGTATTTGCAGTGATTTTTTTCCTAATAGAGGAAAAAAAAGATCTGCACTTTTTAGCATCTAGTATGATATGCACTTCTTAACCAGTTTTCCTGGTTTGTTTTTGCAAATGCAAAAGGCAGGATCTGAAAAGAACAATGACTACAATTTCTATCCTAAAAAAAAGGGAAGAATTTTGGCAATGAAAGAACTATAATGTTTTGACTCTGGCTTATATCAATAACAGTTGGTAGTACAAAATGGTACATTGTTTCAGTTAAATATTGTAACAACTAATAATTCTCATCATGAGATGGCTCATATGTTCTTGTAGCAACAATTTCTTAATCCATAAACCAAATTTTTATTTAGCATATTGTATATTGTTATTATTATTTATAGCTTTGCAATTTTTTTGAGAGTCTAACTGTAGTATGTTATCTATTTTAAAAAATTTTTTCATCTTAATTCAATGGTTTAATAATCCTTTTCATGTCAGGAGCAGTTATGGTAGGATACAGTTTATTTTTGGGATTAAAGAATAGTGTAAACTCAAAATAACATGATTATGCTAATTTGTTATCAAACTGATAACAAATTAGCGTAATCATGTTATTTACTGAGATTGTGTTTAATCAAATATATGTGCATGAGGCATTTTGAGTTTACGCTATTTTTTTACGCATGGTTTTACTTTCATAGATTTAATAAAAAGTTTATACTGTCATAACATAATAGATGTAAAGAGAGAGATTAATTACATTTTAACTGTTTGGCAAAAAAATATGGTTATATTGAGAATGGATTTAAAACTTTAACTAATATCTATTCAAAACTTTTTAACTGGAAACAGTTTACTAAAGAGAAATGTATATGTTAAGATCAAAGATTGAAAATGTTCAATGAGTGAAAAAAAACCAGAATATGCTCTGACTTTACAGAACAGCTTCAATAAGAAATTTCATATCCTGGCTACTTATAAAGAGCTTGAATGCATTACAGCCAGAACATATTGTAACTATTTATTAGCAGAATGTTAAAAAATGATCATGATTTGTGTCATGGTTGTTTCCTGTTTATTCTGTAGTAGCAGAGTTTATGATAAATGAATAAATATGTAAAATAATCAAGAACAATGGCCAAGCTCAATTATTTTTACAGATGTGTTAGAACAATATTTAAAATTACACTTGATATCTTTCAAAAGACATTTACACTTTTTATCAATGCAACCTATCTGTCTGTCTTATCGATTCAGTCAAGGACAACTTGGCTATTCTAAGTATCAACAATTGTCTGCCAATTTCTCATTGCTTTACTTAATTCAAAAATATTCATTCCAGTGTTGTTCTGCATGGTGTCAATCCAGCAAGTTCTTAGTCAACAACCTCTTCCTGTTTTCACTAATTACTCTAGGAATGATGACCTTCTTAAGTGACTTACGAAAAGCTAATAACAAAGACTATACATAAAGCTGGCATTATTATAATACCAATCTAAAGTACCTTTCACACATTTCCAGCAGCCCCCTGATGATACAAAATCCAAAGTGTAAATGTTTTTGGCCCCATTCAGAGGCCAGCTTTGTGCATTTCTACTGAAGATTTGCATTGGCAGTCAAACCTTTTTAAATGATCTGGAATTTGAAAAAATTATGTATTATATTATAATAGACACAGTATGTCTTAAATGTTGGTAATACAGTAGAGTATCATTTATCTGAAAGCTGATCAACCGAAACTTGGTTAACCGAAAGCATTCCAGTCGGACTGTGTTGTGCTGAATTGAATGTTTTTGATACTAGATTAACTTCCAAAATATAATTTTTTTTGTTTTTATATTTCAAAATTCAGAGACATTTCAAGAAATAGATTTTAAAGATCCTTTGGGATCATTTGTGAGAACTTCCCAAATTAAATTAAATACCTTCTAATCAAAATTCAGGTAAACAGCTTTTAGAACAAGGTATATTTTATTCAGGTCACTACAGGTGCTGAAAACATGTATTTTATTAAAGTTTTCCTGGATATCAATGATATTTGATTGATTGTTTAACAAGTTATGGAAATAAAGTGTTATTTCCATAAATTTTTAATTAAAATAGAAATAAAAATTTAACTAAATTGAACATTTTTTATTAATAATTTAAAGGTTTTTAAGATGAATAAATTTTTATTTTATTTACATTTACTAATTGATGATTTAAACTTAGTAAAACAATAATTTAATTGTCATTTATTGTAAGTTATTACCTTATTATATTCGTTATTCATAGTAACAGCTGTTTCTTCATTGAATGATTTGTTTATGCAAGAAAAAAGTGAAGTCATATTGTTTACTTAATTGTTTAAATGATAATGTGTTTAACAGAATAACACCTAAACACAAATTTCCAGCAAACAAATAAACTATTTTTTTTGAAATTTGTTTAATGAAAAGTTTAGTTCATAATTTATTAAATATAAGAATTTCTAACACATTGCTTAGGCATTTAATAATGTAANAGTTATCAGAACAACCCCAGTCCCCAATTGATTCAGATAAATGACACTCTACTGTACTCACATAGGTTTAAAAATATTAGGCCTACGTAACTTAATGGTTCATAGAATTTTTTTTTTTCAGACATTTTATTGGTTCTTGGTCTTAAAAAGGTTGAGAAACATTGGTTTAATCTGTTCCAGAATCACTTGGTTTGTTATATTA